CCCCTCCCCCCACACGCACGCGCACTCTCCTCCTTCGGATTGCCCCTCCCCCCACACGCATGCGCCTTTCCTCAGTGGCTTTCCGCTCCGCTCTGGCTCCCATATCTTGCGCGCCCCGTCTCCTTCCCCCTGACCTTTTTCCCTCTACAGTCGTACACCTCCCGTTTTTCGGCGCCCCCCACCCCATGCTTGTGCTGCTTTCCGCCGCACAAAAATTGTTGGACTATCTGAAGGCTTCCTTCTTTCCTTCTTCCCTCCTCCACTTTCAGGTTGTGCACCCCGCCTTCCCCAGTGGCCCCAGGCCAGTGCGCATGCGCCCTCCCCTCCACCTGGGCTCGACCTGTGACAGAGGAGGATCCAGGGCGTCGTCGAGGGGGCGTGGCCACGAGGCCCTCCCTCTCGAAGGGCGGGGCCTGTGCGTTTGGCTCCGCCCGCCTGTGAGTTTGGCTCCGCCCCTCCCCGCCTTTGTGGGCTCAGCTGCTGCTCTCCCAGTGGCATGCTCTTTGGGGATTCGCGAAGCCTAGTCCCCACCTCTTTGGCAGAGGGGAAACTGAGGCACAGAGAGATCGAGGGGCGTGCCCAAAGCTACACAGCTTCCCTCAACGTCACCAGCCCAGCCCTGTCACGTTCCTGAAGGGAACAAGCATTTATTAAACACCTAACGCGTGCCTGATCCTGCGCTAAGCGTGGATCACAAAGTCCTGTCCCGTTCAAGTTCAACCCTGGGCAGGAGGTGCTGATACTCATACCCATTTTGCGGAGGAGGAAACTGAGGCCAGTCCACAGTTTCCCCGGCATTGTGCCCTGCTCCTGGCCTCCCCGGGTGGCTCTGGGGAGCCCCGTCCCTTCTTGGCTCCCTCGGTGACTGGGGCCTGGGTCTTCTGCAGCCCCTCCCGGAGAGCTGAGAAAGCCAAGGCCTCAGAGACCCCCCTCCCTTTTAACTGTGGAAGCAGCATCAGACTGGGCTCCAGAGACCCGAATTCAAGCCACAATGAAGGCGTCACTGACGGGGGGCTTGAGCTAGAAACTCCCTGAGCTCCCTCCTGGCTCCGAAATCCTGAGGCTCCCAGCCGTCCCGATAGCCCTGAGCAGTCTGCTGGGTAAGGGACATCAGCCCATCTTATAAAGGAAGAAACTGAGGGCTGCCTGCTCTGGGAACCTGCAACGCGGAGTTTGTTTCTTAAAAATGACTCGCCTGGGGCTCTTTCAGGATTAGAAGAGGCATCTGACCTGGGAAGCCTGGGCCCAGGTTGGACTCTGCCTAGCAAGGCCCAGCTCTGGGAGTGAATTAGAATTAGGATGACTCTTTGAGAAATCAAGACATTGTAAAACAAAACCAAAAGAATGAAAAAAATCGAAGACAATGTGAAATATCTCATTGGAAAAACAACTGACCTGGAAAATAGATCCAGGAGAGAGAACTTCAAAATTGTTGGACTATCTGAAGGCCATGATAAAAAAAAAAAAAAAAAAAGAGCCTAGACATGGTCTTTCAAGAAATTATCAAGGAAAACTGCCTTGATATTCTAGAACCATAGGGCAAAATAGAAATGGAAAGGATCCACCAATCACCTCCTGAAAGAGATCCCCAAAGGAAAACTCCTAGGAATATTGTAGCCAAATTCCAGAGTTCTCAGGTCAAGGAGAAAATATTGCAAACAGCCAGAAAGAAACAATTCAAGTATCGTGGAAACACAGTCAGGATAACACAGGATTTAGCAGCTTCTACATGAAGGAACCAGAGAGCTTGGAATATAATGTTCCAGAGGTCAAAGGAGATAGGATTACAACCAAGAATCACCTACCCAACAAAACTGAATATCATCCTTCAGGGGAAAAAATGGATATTCAAGTGAAATAGAGGACCTTCAAGCATTCTTGATGAAAAGACCAGAGCTGAATAGAAAATCTGACTTTCAAATACAAGACTCAAGAGAAGCATGAAGAGGTAAACAGGAAGAAGAAATCATAAGGGACTTATTAAGGTTGAACTATTTATATTCCTGCATGGAAAGACGGTATTTGTAACTGATGAGACCTTTGTCAGTATTAGGGTAGTTGGAGGAGAAAAAAATTACATGTATAGATAGATTGATAGAGGGCACAGGGTGAGTTGAAGATGAAGGGGTGATATCTGGAGAATAAAATTAAGGGGTGAGAGGATTACACTGGGAGAAGGAGAAAGGGAGAGGTAGAATGGGGTAAATTATCTCACATAAAACAGACAAGAAAAGGCTTTTACAGTGGAGGGGAAGTGGGAGAAGGTGAGAGGGAATGAGTGAATCTTATTCTCATCGGATTTGGCTTAAGGAGGGAATAACATACACACTCAATTGGGTATGGAAATCTATCTTACGCTACAGGAAAATAAGGGGGAAGGGGACAAGAGAGCAGGGAGATGAAAGAGTGGAGGGCACTTTGGGGGAGGGGGTAATCAGAAGCAAACACTTCTGAGGAGGGACAAGGTGAAAAGAGAGAATAGAATAAACCAGGGTGGGGTGGGGTAGGATAGGATGAAGGGAAATATAGTTTTTCATAACATGACTATTATGGAAGTGTTTTGCATGACTACACATGTATAAACCTGTATTGGGTTGCTTGCCTTCTCAATGAGGGTGGGTGGGGAGGGAGGAAAAGAGAAAATTTGGAACCCAAATTTTGGAAAACAAATGTTAAAAATTGTTTTCACATGCAACTGGGAAATAAGATATACAGGCAATGGGGTACAGAAGTCTATCCTGCCCTACAGGAAAATAGGAGAAGAGGATAAAAGAAGGGGTGGGGGAGATAGAAGAAAGGCAGATTAGGGGAAGGGGTATTCAGAATGCATGCTGTCTTGGGGTTGGGGGAGGGACAAGATGGGGAGAAAATTTGGAACTCAGAATCTTGTGGAAGTGAATGTTGAAAACTAAAAAGAAATAAATTAGTAAGAGAAAAAAAAGAAATTAAAAAAAAAAGTAGCCTCAACCATGGGTCTGAACTAAAAAAACTCCCAAAAACAAAAAACAAAAAAACCAAAAAAAAAGAATTTCTGCTCTATAGTTTTTGATTGATGTTTAATTATTTTAATCTTTGCACTACTTTTGTTCCTTTTATCACCTTAACATTTTGCTTTTATTAGATATAAAGAATTTTTGAGACACTTTCCCTCCCCCCCAATTCTGTTTCATATGTTTCTTTTTAATTGTCTTTAATCAGTCAAAGTAGCGCTCAAATTTTCTGCTGTACCTAATGATCAGATATTGATATATCCTTCTAGTGTCTTTGCATAGGTCTTTAGTAGCTTTTTAAAAAGTAATTTATTTATTTTAAGTTTTCAACATTCACTTCCCTAAGATTTTGAGTTTTTAATTTTCTCCCCTTCTCTCTACCCCCCCCCAAAGATGGTGTGCAGTCTGATATAGGCTCTACTTATACATTTATATTAAACATATTTTCACATCAATCATGATGTAAAGAAGAGGTTCTCTTCCATATGATGTCCACTCTTCCTACCTCCCATCCCAGCTCCTCTTTGCCTTGGCAGCCAGTTCTTTATGAGCTGCTGGAGTTGAAAGCATCCATCTTCTTGTGGCCAGCCCTCTGGTACTCAGCCTTCTCAAACTAAGGGAGACGTGGCAAGGTTGAACCCTGCTGGTGTAGACTTCAGGAATTCTGAGTCACTTCCCCACTTGAAGAGGTATTTATGGGGGGTATCAGTGGTGGTACCATCCCACAGGACCAGAGAAGCACCAGATATCAGAACTTAACGTGGAAGGTCAGGCTGGCGAGATCTTAGAATACAGTATGTAAGAGCTGAAGGGACCTTAATAGGCAGCATGGAATAGTGGGATTGGCATCCAGAAGACCCAGGTTCAAATCCCACCAATGGGGGTGAGAGGGGGATTTTGCTCCATGCTGCACCTCTCCTCTCTCTGATTGGATGACTTCTCCCAGAACCTCCAAGGAGGGTGCCCAGGCCAGTGATGTGTCACTCCTCTCCAGGCTACCCTCCAGACTTCTACCATGCTCCCCAACACCAGATACCATTGTGTCTCCCCCCACCTTTTCAGCTTTGGTATGTCGTCTTCCCCATTAGAATGTAAGCTCTGCAAGGGCAGGGAATGTCTTTCTTTTTACCTGTATTTTTATTCTCAAGGCTTTGCACAGTTCACAGTGACCATGGACAAATCCCTTAACCTCTTAGCGCCAGCTTCCTCATCTGTAAAGTGGGGGACAATAAGATTTACAGATCAGCCCCACATGCCTATTGAAAGGCTCAAACGAGATAACCTCTGAAAAGCTCGTTTCAACTTACCAAGCACCAGATTTGGCATGTATTAAGTGCCTACTGTGTGCAGGGCACTGTGCTATACAAACAAAAGTGAGACAGTCCCTGCCCTCGCTATGTTCACCTACAAATGTCTACTGAATAAACACCAAGGCATTGGGAGTTAGGGTGACAACACCACTTGGTATCAGTACAGATAGTATTGGTGGAAGGCTGACCCGTCTGTATGGGGTTCTCCTCGCGGAGGAAGATGCGTCATTCAATGCTGCGTGCCTGCCGGAGGGGCAGAGCTGGGAGCACAGCCAGATCCTTGTCTGCTGGCTCCATCCCTAGCTGACGGTGCGGGAGACTTCAGGGAACGCCCCTTGGTGAGATCTGGGACCCTGTCTCTTGATTGAACTGAGACAATCTCCCTCCAGTGAGGGAGTTTCTTCACTCTATGTGTTTTCTGGTTTATTCCCTCCGAATCATTTTCTGATTTGTTCGTTGTTGGTCTGAGTAAGAGTTTATTTGCCATTTACTCTATGTGTTCATTGAGGCAGCTAGGTGGCATGGTGGATAGAGTGCAGACCTGTAGTCAGGAACGCTCATCTTCCTGAGTTCAAATCTGGCCTCAGACGACTTACAGCTGTGTGACCCTGGACAAGTCACTTCACCCTGTTTGCCTCAGTTATCTCATCTGCAGAATGAACTAGAGAAGGAAATGGCAAACCATTCCACTGTCTTCGCCAAGAAAACCCCAAATGGGGTCACAAAGAGCTGTGCGTGATTGAAACAAATGAATGATGTGTTCACTGTGGAAGTGGCGTTTGGTGAGAAGGCAATCAAGCCTCGGTATAGCTTAGGGCACTCCTTGCCTACGAAGGCCTAGTTTGTATAGATCACAGATACATAATGAGACTGGAACGGTAAGTTAGGAACAAGCTGTGAGGGGCTTTAAAAACCAAACAAAGGACGCATATAGCCTATATCAGACTGCATGCCGTTCTGGGGAGGGGAGAGGGGAGGGAGAGGAAAGCTGGAACTCAAAATCTTATAAAAGTGAATACTGAGAACTAAAAATAAGCAAACAAATGAACAAATAAATAGTTGAACCAAACAAAGGTTTTTTATCCTAGGAGCAATAGGGAGCCACTGGAGTTTGTAGAGTAAGGGAGTACCAGGATGCCCATGCTCTCAGGTCTTTAGAATGTAGACCATAAAACAGTAGAGAAGAAGGGGACCTGAGAAGTCATCTGGACCAACATCCGTGCTTTCTTTACATCCATCTTCTCTGTATTTATCTTGCATGTTCTGAATTCGATATGTGGTTTCCCCCATTAGAACGGAAGATCCCTGAGGGCAGGAATTGTTTTTGCTTTTTCTTTGTATCCCCAGCACCGAGCACAGTGTCTGGCAACAGTAAGCAATTAATATTTGATTGACTGATTTGGTTTTCAAAAGTTTAATTTTTGAATTTATTTGGTTTGTTTAATGTCTAAAGATATCTTATTTTTACATCACGCTAATTTCCGAATATATCCCTTCCCACCTAACACCATTCCCCCAGTCCCAGTAAAGTCAAAAAGCATTTATTAATCACTATTTGCCAGACAACAGTGTTAACTCTGGGGACACAGGCAGAAACAAAAAGAAATAGTCCCTACCCTGAAGGAGTTTACGTTCTAATCAAGAAATAGCATACATAAAAGGAAGTTGAAGGGGGAGGGGGGAGGAAGCACCTACATGAAGGGCCGGGGATGAAGTCTGGAGAATGAAGGATGGCTGTTCCGAGGCCTTCTTCAAAATGGAGGGAGGAGGCAGCTGAGGCTTGGTGGCAAAATCCAGGCTGCTGACTACTTCTCATCCTCCCTGCCCCCACATTCTAGGGATAATCCTGAGGACTGCTGAGGCTTTCACATTGTTCATGAGCACAAACATGGGCAGGTCCAGCCAAGCAGGTTCTGAAACTGGGCCTGGCAATGTCTGAGTCTGTCTTGTGGGCACTAGCTTTCTCTGTAGACAGGCTTGTCACCAGCAGGTTGGCACGGCCATTCACAAATACCATCTACCAAAGCACCGAGGGGCTAGGATCTTTCTCCACACTTCGTTGATCCTTAAAGAATCAAACTTATCCTGTGGACTGGAGCTCGGGGACCGATGGAGAGCTGTTAAAAACCATTTCTGCCCTTCCTGGGCAGTGGAGTCCACCACTAACTATAGCCGTGGAGCTCCTTCTCTCTGTGTCTACTTCCCATTTATAAAGATCGGCACTGCAGAGGGCCTCTCTTGCCTTTCCTCTTTCCTCTCCTCCCTCCCTCTCTTGCCCTCCTAATGTTTCTGAGTTATCCCCAAGTGGGATGGGTTCCCTGTCACTGAAGGTTGGGGGTGGGGCTCCTCCAGAGAAGGCGAGAGGGCCCCTTGTCAGGGGAAGGGGGTTCTAGCTGAGTATTGTTTGGACCTGATGCCTCTGAGGCAGGCCACTTCCAGCTCTGGGTTCTGGGTTAATAGCCAGCATTTACCCTAAATGCACGTTAAGGTTTGAAAGGGCTTTCCATGTTATCTCATCTAATTCCCACAACCACCGTCTTGGGAGAGATCATGTCCTTTTTATGAGAAAACTGAGGCACAGAGAGTACCTTGCCCCCAGGGCTGGAGCTGGTAAATGTTGGACAGTGGTAGTCTTCCTGACCACAAGTCCGGTGTTCTGTGGACCGTGCTGCCCAGCTGGCAGTGTGGCCTCGGTTTCCTCATGTGCCAGATGGGGATAATAAGAACACACATCTCGCAGGATTTTTTAAAAAATTTATCCTTTAACATGAATTTTTAAAAGTTTGGGGTTCCCAATTTTCTCCCTCCCCCTCCCATTGGGAAGGCAAAGGATATTATGCCAATGACCCATTAGAAATCAGGCAAGACCTATTTCCAAGTCAGCCCAGTAGCAGAGCTGTTCTGAGACTCCGAGGACGTTCTGTCTGCCAAGCCCTCCGCGGCCCTGAAGGGCAGCTTTGACTGCCAGCATATTCTCCCAGAAGAGGGGAACTCCCTGAAGGCCGAGGCAGGATTCTGAGCCCAAGCAGTTGCTCTGGGGCTGTGATTCTGAAGCTGCTGCGGCCAGCACATGACCCCTGTGTGGCCATGCGACTCCTGTGGCCTGGGGAGGCTAGCAGCTGCAGGAGCTGATCTACCCAGCCCCCCTCCTCCAGCCCTTGGCCTGAAGGCCCACCTTGTTTCACCCTTCATCCCTATCCCTGGTGGATTGCAAGGTCCCTGAGGGCAGGAACAACGCCTCACCCTGTAGAGCCTCCAGGAGAGGGCGCCACACCCATTACAACACTTCTTGGTTACTGCATTTGCAAATGGTCATTTTTATTCTTGAGGCCCAGCATTTCTTCATCAGCCAGACTGGGGAACTCCCCCAGCCCTTCCCCAAGGTCAGTTAGCTGCCAACCTAAGGCAGGCTGTCCCCCACACTCTTGGGCAATTTTAACTCTTCTCCCAGGGGCAGACTGGCCTTCGGTTCCATCCTCCTAGCCCTCCTCACTGACGTCCCATAAGTCCATCCCGTGTTGAGGGCCCCTTACTGTGTCTGTAACCCAGAGGCCTACATTCAGAGGGTTTTCTCTGGTGTGAGTTCTCTGATGTAGAAAAAACTTGGACCTCCGACTAAAGGCTTTCCCACATTCACTGCACTCACAAGGCTTTTCTCCAGTGTGAATTCTCTGGTGCAGAAAAAAATTAGAACTCCGGCTGAAAGTCTTCCCACACTGGCTGCATTCGTAAGGCTTCTCCCCAGTGTGGATCGGCTGGTGCTGAGTGAGGACTGAGCTGCGGCTGACGGTCTTCCCACACTGGAGGCACAGGCGAGGCTTCCCTCCAGTGTGAACTCTCTTGTGACGGCTCAGGGCAGAATACCGCCCATAGGCCTTGCCGCACAGGTTATATTCACAGGGCTTCTCCCCAGTGTGACTCCTCCAGTGCTGCAGGAGAGAAGAGCGCTGTCTGAAAGATTTCCCGCAGGCATCACACTGATGAGAGCTCTCCTTGGGGGGCGTTCTCTCTGGATCGCTAGGGTCAGAGCTCACCTCGAACGCGCCAGACGCGCCTCCTCGGAGTGTCTTGTCCTCGGCACAGCGCCGCCAGTGCTGCACTCCTGGAGAAGGGTTTACCGCAGTCCTTGCAATCAAAGGGTCTCTCTCCCGTGTGGATTCTCTGGTGTTCAACGAGCTTGGTCTGCTGGATAAAAGCCTTCCGGCACTGGTGGCATCCGTAGGGCTTCTCGCCAGTGTGGATTCCCCAGTGGCGGATCAGGGTGGATCGCCGCCTGAACACCTCGCCGCACGCACTGCACGTGTAGGGCTTCTGGCCGGTGTGAATCCTCGGGTGCTCGCGGAGGTAAGCCGGCCGACTGAAGTCCTTCCCACACTCCTCACACATGTGGGGCTTCACTTCAGCGTAGCTCTTCTCACGTCGGCTCAGGCAGGAAAGCCGCTCAAATCTTTTCCCACAGCTCCGACACTCAAAGGGTCTCTCTCCGGCAGGACCTTGCCCACATGTCACTCGGTTCGACCTCAGATGGACACACGTCTCCAGCCCATTGCACGCCCGGCCCATCTCACCCGGCTGAGCCTGCTCTTGGAGGCGGGCCACTGGGCTGAAATCACATCCCGGGGAAAAACGCGGGCTCCGGGCAGGGTTGAGGGACTGGCTTCCACGTTCAGAGGCCGCTCCAAACTCAGGATCCTGGTCAGCGCCCCTGGTGCTCCCGCACAATCCCCTCTTCCACACTCCTGTAGAAATGCCTCCCCTGACCTCAGCCCGAGTCTCGCAATCTCAAACAAGAAATCGGAACAATAAGGGCGGCGGTGATAACGATGCTGCTGCTGGCTAGCTGGCATCTGTACAGTGACCTCATAAATGTTAGCTTGTTTGATCTGCACAACAGCCTTGTGGCGTAGAAGTGCCTTGCCCAGGGTCACACAGCTGCTAAGTGTCTGAGGCTGGATGTGAATTCAGGTTTTTCTGGCTCCAGGCCTAGCCTTCTAGCCACTGCCCCATCTGGCTGCTCAGGAAGAGGCTCAATGTTCACAGAATCCTATGGTTGGAAGACAACTCAGAGACGATCTGGGCCAGGGGTTCCTTCTTAGCCTTTTTTGTGTCCTGGACTCTGTGGCCCAGTCTGGTAAAGCCCACAGACCCCTTCCCTGAATTGTTTTTAAAGGCATAAAAATACATGGATTACAAAGAAAATTAATTATATTGAAACATAACTATCAAAATATTTTTAAAAGCTTTTTGTTTTAACATCATTTATACTGTTAATGTTGTTTAATATTAATATTGTTCAAGTATTAAAAAATGAATCCCATGTTCAGAATCTCTGATATGCTACAAAGCTGTGGTCAATCTGTGGAACAGATTAGCTCCACAATCCACAGAAGCAACTGACCACAGTAATCTACTATTTGATAAAACCAAAGATCCCAGGTGTTTGAGGGAAACTGGAAAGCAGTCCGGCAGAAACTAGGGATAGACCAACATCTCATACCATACACCAAGACAAATTCCAAATGAGTACATGATTTAGACATAAAAAGTGACATCATAAACAAATTAGAGGAAAATGGAAGAAATTATCTGTCAGCTCTATGGAAGCTGAAGAGGTCATAACCAAAGAAGAGACAGAGAGCTTCACAGGAGGGAAAATCAATAATTATCACTATATAAAATTTGTAATTTGGAACGATGCCCCAAAATCTATTAAACTATGCATACTTTTTTTTCCCAAATTTTAAAGTGGTTCTTTCTTTTTTAAAAAATGTAAATATTTTATTTTTTCCACTTACATGTAAAGACAATTTTCGACATTCATTTTTTATAAGCTTATGAGTTTCAAATTTTCCCCCCTTACTTCCTCCCTCCCCTTTCCCTTCCCTAAGACAGCAAGCAATTTGATATCAATTACACGTATGCAATCACGTAAAAATATTTCCACATTAGTCATGTTGTGAAAGAAGAAAGAGAACAAAAAGAAAAAACCATGAAAAAAACAAAGAAAGTGAAAATCGTATGCTTTGATCTGCATCAGTTCATTCTCTGGAGGTGGATGGCGTTTTCCATCGAGTCTTTTGGAATTGTCTTGGATCATTCTATGGCTGAGAAGAGCTAAGTGTATCACAGCTGATCATCGCACAATGTTGCTGTTACTGTGTATAACGTTCTCCTGGTTCTTGCGCATACCTTTTGACACAGTGATGCTGCTAATGGTTCTATACCTCAAAGAGATCAAAGAAAGGGAAAAAGCATCCTTATGTACAAAAATTCATAGCAGCTCTTTTTGTGGTGGCAAAGCATTGCAAACTGGGGGAATGCCCATCAGGTGGGGAATGGCTGAACAAGTCATCATGGTATATGAAGGCAACAGAATGCTATCTGTAAGAAATGAGGAAGGGGATGGTTTCAGAGGAGAACCGTTACAATGTGAAGGGAGCAGAACCAGGGAAACAATTTACATAATAATAACAATTTTGTAAAGATAAACAACTTTGGAAGACTTAGGAACTCTGATCAATACAATGACTCACCACAATTTCAAAGGACTCACAGCGAAATATGCTATTTACCTCCCCAGTGCAGAATGAGGAATTGTTGTGGGCATGGTCAACAAGCGAATTTGTAATGGGTTGTATTTTTCTTACTTTCTCAATTGGGGGGGGGAGGGGTGGAGAAGGGAACTCAAACCTAAAAATAAAATTTACAAAAATAAAATTATTTTTTTTAAAAAGGACTCCTGAGTAAAAAACAAAACAAAACAAAAAAAAACCAAAGGACTCCTGAAGACTTACATGAACCGATGCTGAGCGAAGTGAGCAGAACCAGAACACTATACACAGTAACAGTCACATTGTGTGATGACTGACTTTGATAGACTTAGCTCTTCTCAGCAATGCAAGGATCTAAGACATCTGCAAAAGATTCATGATGGAAAATGCTACCCATGTGCAGAGAAAGAACCATGGAGTCTGAACGCAGATCGAAGCATGTTATTTTCTCTCTCTTTTTCTTTCTTGTGGCTTTTCCCTTTTGTTCTGATAATTCCTTTGTAACAGGACTGATGTGGAAATATGTCTAATAGGATTGCACATGTACAGCCTATATCAGATTGCATGCCATCGTGGGAAGAGGGGGAGGGAGAGAAAAAAAATTTGGAACTCAAAATCTCATAAAAGTGAATGTTGAAAACTATCTTTACATGTAATTGGAAAAAATAAAACACTATTAAGTGGGAAAAAAAGGACTCCTGATCTACGCCAAGCTGGCACCCCATATGCAACAATCTTGACAAGTGATCACTAAAACAGCTCATTGATTCGCTCATTCCCCTTAAGTGGGCAGACCTATAGGTGTCTCTGTAGCATCTCTGGCACCTCCTGGCTGTGTGACCCTAGGACATTCACTTCAAGTCTCTGGCCCTGTGTATCTGTTAAACGGAGGTGAGTGCTCCTTGTAAATGCCTGCCTCCCAGGGGCCTTAGGGAGCCCCGACCTTCCTGAAGCAGCCTCGTCGTGCTCTGAGGTTGCTCCTGTCCTCGTCAGGAGCCTAAATAGAATGAATTGCAGTGATGTAATGCAGTCAGCTGGCCTGCACGGCCCCCGGCTCTGCCTTCAGGAGTCAGCCGGAAAACTCAGACCCCTCTTCCCCAGACGCTCAGAGGCAGGGAGTGAGTAAGTGGTAGGTAGCATCATCTCTTCTTCTCTGTGTTAAAATGACCCTCCCCAGTTCCTTCAAACTATTCTTGGAAGGCTGAGTCTCGGGTCCTTTCATCATCCTGCTTACCTGTTTTCCTTATGGAAAAAGAATTAAGATGCCGGACAATGAGAATGGAGGGGTCCAAGATTTGCAGTCCTAAGACCTGGGTTCAAATGCCACCGATGCTTTTCACCTGAAGGCTTACACAGCACCCGCCCTGCCTCCCTTCACAGGACCATTTGGAGAAAAGTCATACGTTGCCCCACGGTACAGAGCAGGAACGAGAGATGGGGGAAGGGGAGTAGGGAGTGATGTGCCCGGGCTGTCGTGAGGACCCAACGGGACTGCAGAAGTGGGAAGCGTGATTCCTGTTCTAGTAACAGTAATAAACATTTCTATTCCCACCTCCAATTTACAAAGCCCTTTCCTCGCTGCAGCCCTGTGAGGGAGGCAGTTAAGTATCATCATTCCCGTTCTGCAGATGGGAAAAACTGCAGCTTTAAAAGGCCAAACCGCCAGTCCAAGGTACCAGGAACAGAAGTGCAGTCTCCTGTGTCTACCCCAGGCCCTTCTCACCAAGGCCGGCTGCCTGTCGTGATACGAACAGGCACAAGCAATGATCCCTCTGCTTGCTCCCCGGTCTACCCACTGCTGTCACCGGCAGGTCCTATCCTCCAGAAGGGAGGCAGGCGGTCAAGCTGAAAGGTGCCCAGTCTCTCCACTACTTCCCTCCAGCCTCACAAAGCTAGAGAAGGTGCAAGCTGCTGGGCTTGGGGAAATGAGAGCAAAGAAATGGGGAAGGCATTCAGACAGACTGCCGAGTTAGAGAAGCGCCACAGGAGGTCCGCTCCGCGCTGGGCTGGGCCACAGCAAGCAGCCAGTCGTGGAGGGATTCCACGAGGTCGGCGAAGCCTGCCTTCCATCCGTCCAAGGGCCTTGGGCCAGCCTGGCTCATACATATCACTGTGCCTCACGAGGGTGGGAATGGAGATGTTTTAGTGGTAGCCTGACCTAACTGGGACGTCTGGCTCTGGACGGGGAGGAAGGCAGTACGAGGCTAACAGAGGGTCCGGAGCCGGCGTTCAGAAGGCCTGGGCTCTGATCCAGACCTCACCACTAACCAACTACTTCTTCATGCTTTGAACAAGTCATTTGCCTGCTCTCTGGGCCTCAGTTTCCTCTGCTGTAGCAATAGTAATGGGCCCTCACATAGACCTTTAAGGTTTACAAAGTATTTTACATGTTTTCTCATCATCTGATCCTCACAACAACTCTGGTGAGGCAGGTGCTATTCTTGTCTCCATTTTACAGATGAGTAAACTGAGGTCGAAGTGCAGTGACTTGTCCAGGGTAACAGCTAGTAAGAGCTGTGGAATTCCACAACCCTCCAGATCTAGGGCTCCCTCCAGTGGCACAGAGCTTCTAAGAACAGGGGCTGTGGCCGCTAAGCTCCCCCGTGGCTCTGCCTTTCTAGGACAGGGACCCTCGCCCCACCCCCCCAACCACACCCAAACCCACCCTTGGACTCACTCACACTCACCAGAAGGAATGCTCCCTGGAAACTCTCTTCCTTCCCCTTGCTCAAGCCAGGAGATGATCTGTGGTGTGGATCCAGGGGACTCTGGCCCTGAGGAAAGATGGCACACCATGCTTTGGACAGCTCCCCCAGCACCAGCCTGGGAATGCCCGCGTGGGGTTCAGTGTGGGGCGAGTGGGACGGAGGCCCCCAAGCGGTTGGGGTGGGAGGCTAGTGACTGGGGCCTGGAGAGGACGGCCTTGGCCCTGCAGTCCAAAGGGCTTGGTGTGAACCCCAGCTCCCCCTGGGGGGGGTCAGCTGAGCCTCACCAAGCCCTCCCTCTGCCTTCAGGCTGAGCAGCCTCATTGAGAAAATGGGGTAAACATTTGTACTGACAACTTCACAGAGAAGTTGGGTCAAGGGAGATCCTGAGAAAAGGGCTGATGACCCGGCACATGGCCCTGCCCCTTGGGGCCGCAGTAGATTGCAAGACCTCTGAGAGAATGAGAGAGAAGGAAGGCTGAGAGGAGCATCCCCAGGGCCTTGGAGGAGGAGGAACCCCGGGCAGCACTGGGATCTGAAGCCAGGCCCCTGAGGACAGGCTCAGGGCCCTTCCCTAACACTGATGGCCATAGATACATTCACAGGGAGGGCTTGAAAGCTTGCAAAGGGCTTTATGCAGGCGATCTCAATTTGTCCTAACAACCCTGGGAGGCAGATGTTATTACTATATTCATTGTGCAGATGAGGAAACTGAGGCACAGCGGAACGGTGTTTGCCTAGGGTCACACGGCCAATCCAGAGTTCCATGCGGCACCTAGCTGCCACTCTGCCGTCTGCTCTCCTGTCTCTGGGCAGGAGCCGAGGTCCCCGGCCCTGAATTTGGCCAGGCTGCAGACAGGTCCCAAAGACTGCCTCTGCCTGAGGGGAGGGTGGCCTTACCCAGGGAGACAAGGTTTCTGTAGTTCTCCAACATCACATCCCTGTAGAGCTGCCTCTGAGTGGGGCCAAGGCCCCTCCACTCGTCTGGGGAAAGGTCAACGGCCACGTCTTGGAAGGTTATTGCTGACTGCAACGATGGGTCTGCTGAGCTAAAGACTGGGAGGTAAGGCTGCCCCAGCCTGGGGTAGTGCACAGCAAAACTCACGCTCCATGCCAGGACAGGACGCTACCGACAGGTTTGTCACTGGGTCAGCAAATCAGAGTGGAAAGAGCCCGAGAACCCCTCACGGCCATCCTCCCAAGGGCTGCGAAGGCACCTCAGAGAACGCTTCTCTGAGAAACTGAGGCCACACACCGAGCACGCCCCCTTCTCATCTCCTGTCACACAGCTTTCCCCACTATTTCCTCCTGCAGACTGCCCCTTCCATCATCATTGCCCCAACTGCTCCCTCCAAGCTTACCAATGGTCTCTTAACTGCTGACCTTTGCTCAGTCCTGGGCCTTCTTGAGGTCTCTTTGCATTCTCTCTTCTCTTGAGGTTTTCAGGGCACCTGGTTCTCCTCCTGCCTACCTGACCTTTCCTGCTCAGCTGAGTCCCCACTAACCACCGGTGTCCCCAAGGCTCTGGCCTGGGCCTCCTTCTCCTCCTCCTCGCTGCTACTTCTGGGTGAGGATGAAGCATCCTTCAATGATCACCTCTGTGCTGCTGATTCTCAGATCTGCTGACGTAGCCCTAACCTCCCTGCTAATCTCCAGTCTCACATCTCCTACTGCCCATCGGAAGGCCTGGGCTGGAAGCCTTGGTCAACTTAAATTCAACTCTTTTTATTCTTTTTTAAAAATTTTTAATTAATTTATCTTGAATTATCAACAATCACTTCCATAAGCTTGTGTTTTAATTTTTCTCCCCGTCCCTCCCCAAGATGGCACACAATCTGATATGGGCTCTACACATACAATCCTATTAAACATGTTAAATTCAGCTCTTAACATGTCCGAAACCGAACTCGTCATCTTCCCCTCCACCAAAGCTCCCACCCTTCTCCGTCCCCTATTGATCTCAAGGGCACCCCCACTCTCTAGGCCCCTCGGGCACCCACCTAGGAGTCATCCTGGACTCCCTCCTCTCTCACCCCCCAGACCCAATATGGTGCCGAGGCCTGTTGACTTCCGTCATATCACCTTCTCCCCTCTGACCCCGCCCCAGCCTGGTGCAGGCCCTCAGGCCCTCATCCCCTCACCCCGGGACCATCTACTGCCTCCCCCTCTCTCCATTCCTGTCCATCCTCCATTCAGCCCCAAAGAGATTCTCCTAAAGAGCAGGCCTGATCATGCCACCCCCCTCCCCGCCTCCCAGAGCTGCCTATCACCTCCAGGGTCAAAGACAACATCCTGTTTGGCTTTAAGGCCCTCCCTAACCAGCCCCCTCCTACCTTTCCACTCTTGTTACATCATATACTGTTCGATTCAGTGACCCTGGCCTCCTGGCTGCTCCTCACACAAGGCACTCCATCTCCTGACTCCGGGAGTTTTCTCAGGCTGTGCCCCATGCCTGGCACGCTCTTCTTGCCTCCATGTCCTGGCCCCTAAAATCTCCTCTTCCGCCAGAGGATCTTCCTAGCCCCCTCCCCCACTCCCTATCACCAGCACCTGCTGCTCTGTGGTTCCCTCCAATTTACTCTGGGTGCATCATTACTTACAGTTTGTCTCCCACCTGAGCCCCTTGACGGGAGGCACCACGTATTGGCCCTCCCTGTATCCCCAGCACTCAGCCCAGAGCCTTGCACATAGACTGACTTTGGCTGAGCGCTTCCAGAGATTGGCCGGACAAAGGCTCTTGCCGGGGGAGCTCCCCTCCCAGAGGGCCGGCCCCACAGCCCTTCGGGGACTGGGGTCTTCAGGCTGGGAATTCCATCTCACCCCTCCCATGGAAACAAAAAGGCCTCAGGTGACCTCTCTGACTCTCACAGATGGAAGGGGCCTTAAGGGCCAGCTCATCCCACCTGGACCTAAACAAGGCAGATGGGTGGGCAGAGGAGAGAGTGCTGGACCTAGAGGCAGGAAGACCTAAGTTTAAATTCTGCTGCAGACCCTCAGCAGCAGTGGGACCCTGGGCAAGGCTCCTCCCTTGTCTCAGCCTCAGTTTCCTCATCTGTAAAATGAGGGGCTTGGAGTCGATGACCTCAATCCACATCTCGGCTCTCCAGCATCATCCTGAATGATCCCAGAGCTCTTCCCACCACACAGGGCTAACTCCTAAGGTCTCCTTATCTCGTGCCAAGTTGTCCCCCAGTGCTCCTTGCTCTGCCTGCTGGGCCTAGCTGGATTGTCACAGACAGGCCTCCATGGCCATTCCCAACAAGTGACCGTCCAGCTTCTCCCTGTAGACCTTCTGGGAAGGTGAAACCATCGCCTCTGCAAGCAGCCAGCCAGGCCTCACCATCAGGCCCGTCTGTGGCCATCCCTCTGGGGCCACCAAAACCAGTCTGCAAGGCTCTCTACAAGAGGCACTAAGCCTTCTCTGGGCTAAACTTGCCCAGCTCCCTGTGTCACGGATGGAAGGCCCTTCCCTATCGTGGATGCTTTCCTTGGAGCCCAACGCTGAACACCACGCTCCTTCTGGAGGTGTGACGAGCAAGAGGGCCGAAGGACGATCCTCCCGACTCCTGTGAGCTGTGACTGTCCAAGATGTGCTCGGCTGTCTCGTGGCTCCATCCCAAAGTGCTGACTCACCTCGAGTTTGTAGTCAACCCAAAGAGCCCGGGGATCTTCCAGAACCACTGCTGGCTACCTGGGATCTGCCCTATTATACTCAGGAAGGCGATTTTTTGAACCCAAGTGGAAGATTTGCCATTGATCCCTAACACAGAGTCACAGATTCAGCCCGGTGCTCGAGCCTTTGAGATCTCTTTGGATCACTGCTAATGTTAGAAAGACTGTGGAAGACAGAGGAAGGGGACACAAGACTGGAGACAGGCAAACGTCCTGATTTTCTAAAAGAGAATAGAGCCTATTAGTTATAGGCCCATGAGCTTGACTTTGATTTCTGGAAACATTCTGGAATAGATCATTAAAGGGATGGTTGGTGAACTTCTAGAAAGGGAAGCAACGATTCTAAAGAGCCAACCTGGCTTTATCAAGCACAGGTCATGTCACATTACCCCCATATCCCTTTTTTTTTTTTAACAGTATTACTAAATTAGTAGAGTAGAGGAATGTGGTGGGATATCGTTTTCCTAGATCTTAGCAAAGCATTTGATAGTCTCCTGTGCTATTTGTGCAGAGAGAAGATGGAGAGATTTTGACTGGATGCTAATGCAATTCACTGGAGTCAGAACTAGGTGGGTGGCTGGACTCATGGCTCAAATAGACCCGGCCTCAGACACATACTAATTACCCTGTTTGCCTCAGTTTTCTTATCTCTAAAATGGGGATAATAATAGCACTACCTGCCAGAGTTGTTTCCTTCTCCAGCTCATCTTACAGATGAAGAAACTGAGGCAAACAGGGTAAAGTGACTTGCCCAGGGTCATACAGCTAGTAAATATCTGAGGTCAGGTTTGAACTCTGGTCTTCCTGACTCCAGGCTTGGCACGCTATCCACTATTCCATCTAGCTGCCCCACCTGGCATGTAGTAAGCACTTAATAGATGCTATTTCTTTTCTTCCTTTTCATCACTTTTCAGGTCTGCACCAGATGCAAATTTGCTAAGTATGTCACCTATAAATTTGTTAGTCTCTTATGCTATTCTTATGGAAAATTTGAGAGAGGTGGGCAAGGTAAGAGTATAATTAAATGGGTCCCAAACTGGCTGAATGGCTAAATTCAAAGAACTGGTAAATGGTTCCATGTCAATGTTGCAAGAAAGATGTCTCCAGTGGAGTGCTCTAGGGATCTGTGCTTGGTTCAGCTGCTCCACCATCTTCTCAAAGACTAAGGCAGGGGTGGAGAACCTTTGGCCTCAAGGCCACATGTGGCCCTATAGGTCCTCAAGGATTCAGTCAAAGGGCTGTACTTGAGGACCTAGAGGGCCACATGTGGCCTTGAGGCCATAGATTCCCCACCCCTGGGCTAGGATAAAGAGCTATCCAGCATCCTTATGAGACAGGCTCAGAGTGAGACACACATTTTGTGGACACGGCCAATGTAGGAATTGGTTTTGCTTTGCTCCATGGTTCATTCCTTCTTCTCCTTCCTTCCTTTCCTCCCTCCCAATGGGGGCATGGAGATAGGAGGGAGAGAAAAGAGGTTTCTGTTCATTTAAGAACAAAGCCAACTTGGAATGTTCGGGATGAAGCAGAGAAGCCTCTGAAGGTGATTCTAGCTACCTTCCCACACCTGAAAGGCCAGAAGGGGATGAGCCTAATTCTGTTTTGTGACAGAGGGCAGAGCCGAAAAGTTGTCACGAGGCCGATCTGGGCTTGTTTGTAAGGAGAAGCCAGTGCTGTGAATGAGAACAAGCCTGCTCCCAACAAAGCGGGTGCCCCACGTCTGGAGGCCGAGGCTTCTCCCGGCTCTGCAGTCCTCTGGCGCCATACCCCTGCAGCCTCCTTCCGGGGCTCAGCCCCCAGCTGCTCTCGCTGACCTCCTTGGTCCCCACAGGCTGAATCAGCTCTCCACTGCCGCCGCCTTGGAGGCTCCAGACCCAGCCTCCATCCCTGTCTGGGCTCTGGCACCAAGTGGGTGTTTCCAATGCACATCTCACTGACATCTCAAACTCGTCATCTCTCCCCCAGACTGACCCGTTTCTGCCGAGGGCGCCTTCACGTCCCTCGGGGCCCTGCCCAACGCCTCCCTCTCCCTCTCCCTCTCTGCCCACATCCAAGCCGTGGCCAAGTCTCGGGTTCTCCCTCCATCCACTCTTCTCCACCATGCTAGATCAGGACCTGTTGCCCTAGGTAGGTCCTGTCTGACGGTCCCCTGCCCTCAGGCCCTCCCGGCTCTAATTCTTCTTCCAAACTGTTACAAAGCAGTTAAGGGCTGGCCTTTCCAGGTTGCTCCCTGCTCAGGAAATCCCAGTGGCTCTGTAGCCCTCCAGACGGTCCATCCTCAGGATGGCTCCTTGGCCATGACACTCTCCCCTCTCCGGCCCCTAAGACACTGCCTCCTCCTCCACAACCTAGAATTCTCAGCTTCCTTCGAAGCTCTGCTCTGCTGCTCCCTCCTACAGGCAGCCCTCCTTGATCCTGGGGTGGCCGGTGCCCTCCCCTCCCCCAAGTGCATTCATTGGCCCCGCAAGTACATTACCCCAGTAAAGTGGAGGTTCCTTGGAGGCACCCCGTTTCATTTGTATGCCCAGCACAAAGTACTGGGTCTTACGCAAAGCTGGCTGGTTGATGGAAGCTGAGCTCCTGGGGACAGAGGGCTGGACCAAGGACCGTGGTGGGCCCAGCGTCTAGAAGAGAGCAGAGAGAGTCCAAGCCTTTCACCCGGGGGCGGGAGCTGAGGCCCTTGCTGCCGCATGGCACTCCCAACCTTGGCGGCCAGGGCCTCCAGCCGAGTGCAGAAGACCTGAGTTCAAGTCCTGCTTCAGCCCCTCCTCAGATGCCCTCCTCCTCATCCTCTATTGCCCAGCCAGCTCGCCAGTTCTCGCCTCTCTCCTCCAGGATCTGAGTCACATCCACCACCAGGTTGCTGGACGCTGGGCCCCCACAATCCCCACAGGCAGGATGGTCAGTAGCTGCTTTAGCTCTGGCAGCTCTGGGCTCTGTCTATCACACGAACGGCCAGTCCGAAGCACTGGGGGTTCAGAGCCTCCTGGGGTCTCCCTAGAAGGAAACCCACCCAGGGGGGATTGCTCCTAGAACTGGATAGGGGGTTCAAAGTCTCCTCTCCCTGCAGCAGCTTCCCTTGGACAACCTGGTAGAGAAACAGAAGGAGGGCCTGTTAGGAGAAGGGCGCACGACTGTGACCTGACCTGGGACCCCAGACCCTCCCCTGCCCTCAGAGAACTCAGCTGACTCAATCACAAAGGGGATCCTGGAGCTCCAGGGATGGGGCACCTCCTCCACCGCACCGGCACCAGCCTCCCCAGAGGGGAGGGTCTCGTCTGACTTGGCATTTTACAAGGGAGGATACTGAGTCGCAGGGAAGGTCAAGGACTTGTCAGACAGGATGCTGCTGGGCCAGTACTGCCCTAACGCTCCAGCACAGCCTCCTGCCCAGGGCCTCACCCAAAGCCCCTCTCCTACTCCCTCTGGCCAAGAGCTCTGGGGCAGCCTCTGCCTGAAGGCCGGGGTCAGGGGCCTTCTCACCATCTCACCCAGGAGGGAGAAGAATAAACACAGAACCCAAGCCCAGGCCCATCCCTCCAGCTTCCTGCTGGTCATCTCGCCCCCACCCCCTCGTCCAAAAGTGGGCAGGCAGTCTTTCCTCCTAAGCCCAGCCTCTTGGGCAGGCCACGCCAACTGGCTCCAGGCTCACCATTCGCCATGTGACAATCCATATCCTGCCCCTGGGCCTTTGCCCAGGCTGTGCTCCCTGCCGGGGATGCGCTCCTTTCTCACCACCACCTCCCACTCCCTTGCTGTCTTGGGCAGCCCCTTGTCCTGCCCAGGCCCCAGGCAGCCTGCCCTGCCGGGTAACTTTCTGATGCACGTGCTACTACTGCCCAAGAGAATGCACCTGGCAGGTGTAAACGCTTAGTGTGAGCTGAACTGGAGTGGCCACTCCAACTCCCCTCATTTTACAGCAGGTAAACTGAGGCCGAGAGGGAAGGGAGTCGCCCACGGCGCGGGAGCGGGTGAGAGGCCGCACTCGAACTCGTGTCCTCGGACTCTCCCGCGGGGGTAAGTGAGCTGTCCGCTAGGGAATGGGCCTCCCGGGATGTTGGGGCAAAGGGGGGCTTAGGGATCACCCGGGCTAAGGTCTGACGACGGAAGCCAGGACTCCCGGGACCCTTAACTCCGGCTCCCGCTGGCATCTCCCCGGAGGCTGGGGCGCCTCCTGCGGGGCTCAGCCAGCCCCGGACAGCGCCTGCGCACTCCGCGCCTCCCGGCCCCCAGACCGCGGCGGTAACTGACCACAGCGTTCAGAACCCCTCCCGCGGGAGTTCGGTGGGCCTCTTCTGCGCAGGTGCGAGAAGAAACTCGTGGCCGGAGAGCAGCTAGCCAATCAGCACGCGCGCCTCCTCCAGGCTCCGCCCCGGGAGCGCTCCATAGCAACGCCGCTGGCGACCCACTGTAGCCGCCATCCCGGAAGTGCTGCTGCCCCGCGTTCTTCTGGGAAATGTAGTCTTTTTTTAAGCACAGGCCCCCCCCCCCCCCCCTTTCCCCCAGGGGAAACCGAGGAGCCAGCCGGATTGAACAAAGGAAACTGAAGCCAGGAGTGGAAAAAGGAAGAATGGAGGGAGAAATAAGCGTCATTGCGGGGGGAGAGAACAGAAGGCTTGAATCCCACTAACCATGTGGTCTTCCTGGGCCTCAGTTTCCCCATCTGTAAAGTGGGGGGATTGGCTCAAGTGCCTCCAAGTCCCCTTCCAGCTCCAAGTCTGTCATCTGTGGTCGTGACGCAGCAGATGGAGAGCTGAGTTCAAGGCCAGCCCCCACCCCACTTGACCCCAGCCCGCGGTGGCCAGGTCGCTGACCCTCGCAGGGGTCTGGCAAGTTATGGGGGCAGTGGCCCCCTCACTGAAAAGTGCTTCAGCTGGCCCTCAAGTTAGGCAGCCTTGGCACTCCTCCATATTCATTAGACTGGAAGCTCCTTGAAGGCAGGAACTGCCCCCTTGGGGGATGCTGGACCTGTCAAGCCTCTGGTGAAATTGGGGGGATTGCATAACAATGAGGGGGTGATGGGAGCATAAGGAAAGAAAAGATAAAAAATTTTGCAAAACCACTGGTATGTTTCATCTGCTATATAACAGAGTTAAAATGGTAGTGATTACATTATTTTCCAAATAAACACACAAAATGCAAATTATAACTGATCAGTGCTCAAGTCTGCAGACAAGTCTTAACAAGCTAGAGTTGGGCAGGCCAGCGTATTGTGCATTATAGAGAAGTCCAACATGCATGGGCAGGAAAATGGGCATATAATGACTTATTTACATTAGGATACTATATGGTTACATGATACAATATTGCCATCATCAAAATTTCAATGCGGGGGGAAAAATTTACAATAAATTATTAAATTTGAGATGCATCATTTTCAGAATATATTTTCTGACATGATGCAAAGTTCAGAAAAACTGTTAAAGGATTAAAGATCTGCAGGGGAGTGCTGAGCACCAGGTACTGAGTTAAGTGTTGGGAATACAGATACAGCAAATAGGAGAGACAGTCCCTAGCCTCACGGAGCTTAGCTTTCAGCGGAGGAAGACCACACAGAAGTAAACTGCAAAGTGGGAGGTGAGGAAGGTACCCACAGGGGCAAGGTGGAAGACTCTAGAGAGTCAGAGGTGGGGCTGAGAGGGCGTGAGCGTGGCTGGCCAGCCTGGGCACTCGCTTCCTTAGAAATCGATTCAGAGTAGGAGCTCTCCAGTGAGAAGGGGCTCCCCAGGGAGAGAAGGAAGACTGTGGGGCCTCCACGTCTCTGTGTTGGCTTGGGTACCATGAGCTCCACTGGGACTGGCTGTGATGCATCAGCCTCAACTTTCTCTCCTGATGGAAATTTTTCAAGTGGAGTATGCTATGAAAGCAGTGGAAAGCAGTAGTGTGGCTATTGGACTCAGACGTGAAGCTGGTGTCGGTGTCGTCTTTGGTGTGGAAAAATGAGTCCTTTCTAAACTTTATGAAGAAGGTTCTACCGAGCATTTCTTTAATGTCGAATGACACTTTGGGATGGCCTGCTAGCAGACGCTTATTCTTTAGCAGACATAGCTAGAGAAGAAGCCTCCAACTTCAGATCTAACTATGACTGTAATATTCCGATAAAGCACCTTATGTGTGCACATGCTTACATGCTCTACAATGCTGTCAGACCTTTTGCTTGCAGTTTCAGGTTAGGGTCTTACAGCACAAATGATGATACAACTCTATGTGATGGAGCCATCGGGTGTTTCACATGGTCACTGGGGATGTGCCAACGGTAAAGCCAGGGAAGCAGCAAAAACAGACACAGAGGAGCAGCTAGGTGGCGCAGTGTATAAGCTCTGGTCTTGGAGTCAGGAGGACCTGAGTTCCAATCCAGCCTCAGACACATGACACTTACTAGCTGCGTGACCCTGGGCAAGTCCCTTAACCCTGACTGCCTAACCAAAAGGCAAAAAAAAAAAAAGACAGAAAAACTCCAGATGAAAGCAATGACTTGTTGTGATGTTGTTAAAGAAGTTGTAAAAATAATCTACATAGTACATGATGAAGTTAAGGATGAAGCTTTTGAACTGGAGCTCAGTTGGGTTGGAGAAGTAATGAAAGGAAGGCATGAAATTGTTCCAAAAGATATGAGAAGCAGCAGAGAAATATGCCAAGGAATCTTTGAAAGAAGATGATGGATCAGATGAAGAGAATATGTAACGATGAGTGCTACAAGCCTTTTGTTTTTTTTTTTTAAGAAATGTTTTACATGTAAACTATGTAGAAGTAGTGTCCTGTGGATTTTGAGCCCAGTGACAAATTACCAGGTGATTAAAAGTTTACCTTGTAGCCACAAGTTCCTTTGTTCTCTAAGACAAAGTCTCTGCTTTGGAGAGTTGTGAGGACTTTGCCCATTTTGTCTCACACTATTAATGTTAGGCAGTCTACTTAAATCTCTGGCAGATTGACTCACAAGGGTCCAACTGAAGATGAAATAATTCTATTTCTTTTACAACTCATTCTTTCCTGTAATGGAAACAACTTTACATGAGAGATTATTGTCTAAAATCCCTATCATATTTAACCCTTTTCTGCCTTTCTCATGGCAAAGGAGCGAAGATGGAATTAAGTCTAGTAACAGCTACCCTGCCGTTGTCCTTGGTCCTATGGATAGTTACCAGATAGAGTAGGGAGTAGCACTGACATACTGGTTTGATGGTAGCTGGTGAAACTCTGAACTCTGTGTCAGATTGACACATGCCAATTTTGGAAATTCCAACTTAGTGCAAGACAACTACTATTGTTTACCTAGAATGGACTTTGCTATTGCTGGACTGTTTACAGCAAACTCCATAAATACTTAACTAAATTCAAGCAATTTGGTAGTTTAACTTGTCTCACATAAAGTGTTAAAACCTGACTCCTGGACTTGGCCCTGTTTGCACAAAAGCAAAAGTTAGAACATGCCTGACAATGTCTAGGGCCATTTTTAAGACTCTGACTTAAAGTGGGATAGTTTCTCTGCTTTCTAATAAAGCACGAATATAAAAAAAAAATATCCTCTGCTGTTGTTTGTTTATGTAAGCATAAACATGTACAGGATAACTTCCAGTTTGTATCATAATTTAAAAACCTATATTTTCTAAGTGACCTCTTACATTTTCTGAATTTGGGTTGGATAATAAATGTCATGAGAAAATTTAAAAGCTTCATTCCTCAAATACTTTGTGAAAACAGTTTAAAAAAAAAAACAACTTTGTCCATTGGTCAACCATCTTGGAAGTAAATTTTTTAAGATTTTTACTGCTGCATGATATTCGTGGACATTTAGTTACCTCAGAATATACCTGTTATAGGAAAATTTGAAGTAGATAAGTTTAAATTCTTTTTATAACATAGGACAATTATAATTTATCTTAAATGACCACAATGTCATTTATAACAAGATATTGAGTACCTAAACCTTAAAAAAGTCTTGTTATCTCCAAAAAAAACCTTAGAAATTTTTAAAGAATTAGGTTTTTGTTTAAAGATTTGAAAATGGAAGTATCATCAGAATTAGAAAACTTATTAACAACTAACTTTTATAGTAGCACTTTAATAAAGTTTGTGAAGCACTACACACACACACACACACACACACACTTTATATATGTTAAATTAAGGCCGTCCACTATTAAAATTTTATCCACTTTACTCCTAAAGAGATCTAAAAATTAAAGAGTTGGCAAATTAAAAAAAAAAAGACTGTGGGGGTGGAGGTGGAAAGATCTAAATGGAAGATCTGCCAGCAGGACCCTTTTCTCCTTTTTATTTGCATCCTTGGGATCTGGGCTGTGCTCAGCCTAGAGGAAGTGTTAAATAAATCAATGCTTTCCCATTCATTCACCCATTCACTTTCAAACATGGCCCAACAGCAATCAGTGCTTGAATACCCTTATTTGTTATGAGTGAGAGGTGGGGATGGATTAGAGGGTAATAATGAAAAAAAAAAAGATCCTCATTAAAATATTTATTTAAACAAGTAGAAAAAGGGGTGGGGAAGAGGACAAAGCAATTTTATTACTCTGTTAAACTTTTCAACTATACACACATTTATACATATACATACACACCTATGGTCCTTAAAAAACTCTACAGAAAAGAATGCCATTTCCTTATATTCACCTCTTTCCTTCAAATGGTTATGTTTGTATGACAAACACTGTTGCTATGAATTAATGCTTTTAAGTGACTGTGTTTAACTAATTCTCCACAATCTGAAAAATAATGATACTGATGCACGTATGTCCCCCACCCTATTTATTCAGTTTCTGTATTGGCTTATTTGCTATAATGAAGATGAATTGAAAGAGATAAACCCCTTGACTTAACCCAAGGCTGCTGCCATCTGTGGCCTCACGGGTGGTGAGCAGGAGGAGAGACAGGAGAAGCCACTTCTTAGAAACTATTTGAACTCCAACATTCTAGGTTCTGTGTTTCAAGGTCCCTTCTAGATGAATTCAATTCAACAAGCACTAATTGAAAAGTCTGCTGCATGGCAGGAGGGGCAGCTAGATGATGAAGTGAATAGAGAGCCTACAGTCTGGAAGACCTGAGTTCAAATCTGGCCTCAGACATTTAGCAGCCATGTGACCCTGGGCAAGTCACTTCACCCTGTTTGCCTCAGTTTCCTCATTCTGTAAAATCAGCCGGAGAAGGAAATGGCAAACCACTCCAGTATCTTTACCAAGAGAACCCCAAATGGGGTCATGAATCCATGAACAACAACATGGCAGGAATCTGGCTAGGTGTCGGTGGATACACAGAAAAAATGAAACAGTCCTTCCAGGTACTTGAATACAGCAATCATCGGCACTCCTCCCTCCACCCCCGAGTCTCGAGTCTCTCCTCTGGGTGAACGATCTCTAGCTGACTGTAAAAAGGTGAACACATGGGGAAGGGGCTCTGGAGCTCTAGTTTTAGGGGCGTAGAGTTATGGGGTATGGGCCCAAGCCCACACCTTTGCCCTTTGCTCCAGAAAGAATTTGGCTCCCACCTTCTCGCGCAGGGTAAGGACATAGTGGGAAGGATCACCACAGCTCCCATTTCTGAGGCATCTGAAAGGTTTGTTCAGAGAGCCCTTTCCCAGAGTCTTTGTCTCTTGACCCCAAGGCAAGGGCTATTCAGCCTATGCTACACAGGGTTCATTCTATTCTACCAAAGGAAGGGGCATCACTCACATTTACACCATGTCTTCAGATTTACAAGTGCTTCCCTTCCCATTTCCCTAGGAAGAAGGTAGTGGTTATTCCCATTTCACAGATGAGAACCCACGGGGAGGGGATGTGATCTCCCCACGTTCACACAAAGCTAGCAGGGATCTGAGGTAGGATATGATCCCAAGCCTGGGGCCTCCCTTCCAGGCCCTACCCAGGGGCCACCTCCTGCAAGAAGCCCTTCCTGCCAAGCCCGCTAGTTATTTGTGTATCTTCTGGCCCCCTCTCCCTGACACTCCCCAATTTGGTAATGATTTTGTACATATCTCGTATTTACACGTGGGAGGAAGTAGCATTTCATAGAGTGCTAGACCTATGGCAGGAAGACCTGAGTTCAAATCCTTCCTCAGACACCTCCCTAGTTGTACGACCCTGAGTAAGTCACTTCAATTCTCCCAACCTCTACTCATCATCTGTGAAATGGGGGTATTAATAGAGCCTCCCTCCCAGGGTCATTGTGAGATCGAATTAGAACAGCTGCGAACAGCTTAGCAGACTTCAAACTGCTATAGAAATGCTGGCCGCTATTATGATTATTTATCTGCACCCGTGTTTTCCTCCAGCAAAAGCAAGTCAGTGTGCATTTATGAAGTGCCTACTATGTGTCAGGCATTGTGTTTTGATACAAACAAAGGTCAAAGCGGTCTCTGGGGCTCACAGTAGACACCACACCAACAAACACATAGAAATAAGTGATATACGGGATGAATTGGAAATAATTAAGAGAGGGAAGGCACTAGCATTGAGGTGGAGTGGCAAAGGCTTCCTGAAAAGGTGGGATTTTAGCTGGGATTGGAAGGGAGCCAGGGAGGCCACGAGGCTGACAGGAGGGTCTGCCAGGCCTGGGGTTGGCCTGAGAAAGTATCCAGAGCCCAGAGATGGAGGGTCTTGTTCAAGGAGCATCCAGGAGGCCAGTGGTAGAGAACATGGTGGAGGTGGGAGGCAGGGTAGAAGGTGAGAGGGGCCCCGGAATAGAGTTGTTAGAGTAGCAAGAGCCTTTAGAACATGGGATGGAAGGAGCAATACTGGTGAGGTTATGAAAGGCTCTGAATGTCAAAACAGAGAATTTTGTATTTGATGCCGGAGGCAATAGGGAGCCATTGCAGCTTATTGAGGGAGGGAATGCTGTGGTTAGATCTGTTCTTTAGGATGGTGATGTTGGCAGCTGAGTGAGGCTGGATGGACCGGAGAGGGGAAGATTTGGGGCAGACCCCTAGCAGCTATTGCACTAGTCCAGGTATGAGGTGAGAAGAACCTTCACTGGGGTGAGCAGGGCCAGAGGAGGGGAAGGGGCTTATTGGGGAGATGTTACAAAGGCCTTGGTATGAGTTTGAATATGAGGCCTTGAGGATGAGGGTACCTGTGGTGGCCTGGGACAGCAGTAGGGAAGTCTGCAGGGGACATGAAGGTGGTGAGGTCAATTCTGGACATGGGGATGAGATGTGGGAGATGTGGGGTTGAAGCGCTAGGAAGAGGAGAAGGGCAGGCAATTAGTTAGGGTGAGTCTGACAGGGGTCTGACTGGAAGCGGATGGTTAGAGTTGGAAGGCGGAGCGATGGTCCTTGAGGGAGGGATTGCCTTGGTTTTCGTCTCTCTCCGCCCAAGCTCAGGACTGTGTCTGCCCTATCATAGCTGCTTAACGAATCTTGATCAATTGGGTTGGATCATGATGATTTGATGATTTACTGCTGGCAGTCTGGCTCTGTTGAGGTTACTCTCCCTCTCTGCCCACCGTTTCTCAGCCTTATCCTGTCCCCAGAGCACTGGACCAGTCCAAGGTCCTTTCCTGCTCTTCTTGGGGTATACTGAAGCCCTCTCTGGGAACCTCCTAGAGTCCACAGCTGGGTTCTAGAGTATGTTCCCAGCTCGGAATTTCATGGAGCCCTGAGCCTGAGGCCAGGAAGCTTTGGGTTCAGATCCTGCCTCTGGCTCCAACTCACCGCGTGACTGTAGGCAGGTCACTCAGCCTCTTCATGTGAGACTGAAATGAGGTAATGAGCGTGGAACCCTTTGTTTTACAATCTCCGTGGCAGTTATGACCCCACAACTGGGTGCTCGGTAAATATGGACTGGAGAGGCCAAGTGGAGAAGCAGGGAAATGAGGACATTAGCGCTGACCCAGCTTCCAATCCACTCCCCACACCTTGCTGCCCATGTGGCCATGGCCATGCCACTCCTCTCCACCTCTGCTTTTTCTTCCTCCTTAAGATGAGTGGCCTCGGCCAGACGCTCCCAAAGGTCCTCTCCAGCTTGAAATCTTTGGTCCTTTGATCTCTGTCCAGTTTCCGGTGGGGGCTATAAGCACCCCACCAGCCCTTACAGGAATTCAGAGTCCCCTCCAGCCTGTTGCAAAGATGGCGGCATCCCAGACCTCTCCAGCTGATGGCAGATGGCCCAGGCTAGACTGGTTTTCTCAGGACACCACTGGGACTTCCTGACGCGGAGATCTCAGAGAGCCCAAGCTCCTGTGCCTTGCCTGGGGTCCCCTCGACAACAGAGACAGAGGAATCCTCTGAGGATGGCACCTTGTTCATCCTCCCAACCCACGTCAGAATCTACCATGGAGATTCCAGAGCTGGAGGTCAGACGTCATCTCATCCAATCCTCTGCCAATGAAAGAGCTCCCGAGATGAGAAAATCCCTCCTTGAGCCAGAAGGGACCTCAGAGGGCGTCTCTTCCAACCTCTTACCCATCAGGAGTCCCCTGAATAGGATCAGAAACACTTGGGATTGGCAGTGATCTCAAAGCCCATCTTGTCCAACGCTAGACCCATTACTCATGGACTCTCAGGTACAGGCATGCCTTTAGGACGTGTCTCATCCAACACTTCCTGATCATAAGGAAAACTTGGAGAAGGTGGGATGGGCCATGAGGCCCCTGGTGTCAGAAGGCTTCCCGTGAAAGGCGATGCTGAGGCCTTCCCCGGCCTGAGCGCCTCAGGAGCCGATGTCCACGTGCGGCTTAGATCCTCGAAGGGCAGCCAGCGCCCGCTGGGTCCCCTCACTCAGTGCCATACCAAACAACCTGTGGAGACACAAGGAGATGGACGATTGATATCCGCCTTACCTGCCTCTGCTGGCCCTCTCGGATGTCTCTGGGGCTCATTCTTGGGGAAACTTCCCCTAGGTAGCACGGAGCCCAGAGCTATGTTCTCCAGCCTCGGCTCCAACGTGACTCCAGAGCAGAAAGAAATCCTCAGCGTGGCAGCAGGTGACCCACCTAATGTGATGGCTGTGCCCCTCCATTTGACACCACGAAGTCTCCCATTCAGTGTGGCCAGCCCCTCTATGACAGGCAATCCCAGAATCCCCAGGCTAGACAAGGCCTCTGGGGTCTGGCTCACGCTCCAGCTTCCCTCTCCCCTCCACCCCGAAACAACCACAGGAGACCTCCCTGGAGCGCACAAAAGTACAGATTCCTACAATGAGATGAGCCTGGAAAGGTCACCAAGTTCAAGCTCCATCCTGCCCACTGCAGGAGAGCCCTCAACAATTCTCTGCCACGTTTTAGTAGAATGTAACCCCCCAGTTCTGACCTTCTCTGTTCTGAGGTCCTTCCCCCAACTGACATCCCATGTTCCAAGGCCCTCCCAGTGCTAACAGCCCACGTTCCAAGGCCCCCCCAGCACTAACGTCCCATGTTCCAAGGCCCTCCCAGCTCTAACATCCCATGTTCCAAGGCCCCCCAGCGCTAACATCCCATGTTCCAAGGCCCCCCAGCGCTAACATCCCATGTTCCAAGGGCCTCCCAGATCTAACATCCCATGTTCCAAGGCCCTCCCAGTGCTAACATCCCATGTTCCAAGGCCCTCCCAGCACTAACATCCCATGTTCCAAGGGCCTCCCAGATCTAACATCCCATGTTCCAAGGCCCCCCCAGTGCTAACATCCCATGTTCCAAGGCCCTCCCAGTGCTAACAGCCCACGTTCCA